TTCAGTGCTCTGTTGTGATCACCATGTGCAGTCTTCCAGCAGGTTTTCTTGGTTCTTCTCCAGGCAACACTCCCTGTCTTCACCAGAGTTAATGCTTTGATTTCTATCCCTATCAATTTGTTTTGCTCCAAGTGAACAGTATTTGATGAAAGACTGGCCCCTTACGAATAATCTGTGACAACAGACATGGATAAATTTTGCTTTTCTTCCATAAGCCCTTTTTGATGTTTACTGCCCACACAGGCTGAGAGGTATTTCCAGTAGGCAAGGTATATCCAGTTTATTGGACTAAAATCATGGACAAATCCCTAGATATACTAATATTTGTTAATTTGAATAGGATAGCTCCTTCTGCCCCGCTTTCCATAGTTCCCGTGGTCTGATGCTTCAAGGAGAGTGTCAAAAAATTGAAGAATCCTTTTTTTTTTTTTTTTTTTACATTTTTATTTTAGGGAAGGGTCTACAGGGTGTTTAGGGTCTTACCAGTAGATCAGACTCTCAGTGATCCATCTGTTTACAGCCTCCCAAGAGCTGTGATTACAGGTGCATGCCACCATGCCCAGTCTTAAACTTTCTCAGTATGCCCTGGAGGCAGGGCTGTTACAACAGGCCCCACCCACCCCCAGCTTGCCCCTGCACCTGCTTGCAGGTGCTTTAATCCGCTGAACTATTTGGCTGGCCCTAAACAATGCCTTCTAGAACCTTAAAGCCTTATGCTAAAGGGCTGAAACTATGTAGTATAGGAGAAATGCAGAGGGTGAGGTAGGGTTTCCAGGAGGAGGTGACTCCTCTGGCCTGATTTTGCAGGAGCCCAGTGAGTAGCCTGGAGGGAGACAGGGCCAGAATGGATGAAGATGGTGCAGACAGAAGGGCCTGTTGGTGGTCCATCTGCCTAGCTTTGAAGACTGTCCTTTACATTCTTCAAATGTGCTACACTAGTTGTTTACTTCAAATTAAGTGGTTAGAATAATTTTCTATAAGGCTTTTTTCCCTTCTTTAGAGTGACGAATGACAGTTATCAAAATCTCCCTAACATCAATCACCAGAGGCCGAGATCCAAAGCCGTATCAGGGAAGACAAGGGACACCAAATCTCTCAATAAGGAGCACCCTAAACAGGTCAGGATGGCTTTATTAATATCACATTTGACCTAGAAATAGCTCCAAAGAAAAGGTCTCATTTGTTCATTTTAAATCATGCTATATGATTTATTTTATTTTTATTTTTTTTAAGCAGAGGCAAGCCTCTCTCCTTATATTGCCTTCAGGCTATCTGTCCCAGTCTGGGTATAGCACTCACTGTGTGATTTAGTTTCAACTCTCTGAAAAGTTGTAGAATGTTTAGTATGCTAGATGTCCCCCAGTCTGCGTGCAGGACAATGGCCTCAGTGGCCTGGCTTTGGCAGAGCTTACACCTTTCAGTGGAGGTCACTGCAAGTGGCAGGTCTTCCTGCCCCAAAGCATATCCCTGGGCTGCTCAGCACAGGTTGGGAGAGAATCAGGTGTGACTGGGTCTCAGCTGTCTCCTGCTGGGCTTCTCCAGAGTGCACAGGATTGGTCTTTACTTCTCTCTCCCTTGCACTTTCTAGAGAGAGAGGGCAATCAGAGCAGAAAGCTCATTAGGCAGGTGGGTGAAATCCAAGCAAGACGTGCACATCAAGGGTCTTCTTTAGCAGTGACAAAGGAAAGAGGGCCCAGGAGACTGAGAAAAAGGAGTAGGAAGAATTCATATCAAAGATTCTTGCTATATAGAAAGGAATGATCGTGAAACTCAGTTGGCCGAAACAATTCCTCACCCTCAAGAAGG